TACGATAAGAGTCAACAAGCCTGGTGGGGTCACTTGAGTCAGTGGCTGGTGGGGTCACTTGAGTCAGTGGGGTCAATTGAGTCAGTGGCTGGTGGGGGTCACTGGAGTCAGTGGCTAGTGGGGTCACTTGAGTCAGTGGCTAGTGGGGTCACTTGAGTCAGTGGGGTCACTTGAGTCAGTGGCTGGTGGGGTCACTTGAGTCAGTGGCTGGTGGGATCACTTGAGTCAGTGGCTGGTGGGATCACTTGAGTCAGTGGGGTCACTTGAGTCATCTATTGGCTGGTGGGGTCATCCAAGGGATGGTGGGGTCACTTGAGTCAGTGGCTGGGGGGTCACTTGAGTCACCCAGTGGCAACATTATGACCATGTGAAACCAGCAAACGTTGTAAGATAAATGTGTGTGTGGGGGGTGGGAGGAGTTTTTGGTGCAGACCGATAAATACCACTTTTGAAATTCCCTTGATTTTAATAAAAAAAACTAAACTACTTTTGTAATCGTCTTGATTGCATTAAAAAGCGGCCGCTGTAATTCTCTTGATTCCAATAGATACAAATAAAATAGACACAAATCTAATGAGGTATGTTGTTCAGGGGAGTTAAACTACAGGAACTTGGTCGATCTCTGGACAAGTAGACTTTTAAACAGTGTACGTGGCTTTATGTTAGCTTTATCTTGTAAACATTGGTCCACTGGCTCACTTTTAACTTTTGGACTGTTTAGAACTCCTCGCGAAAAGTTCAAATGCTGTTAAATTATGCAACGGGAAGTGACGTCACAAAACTGTCCTTCCGGAAGGTCGTGCGACCACGGAGGTCAGCGCGTAATCGATTCTCTCTTGTAATCACCGGCGCGGCGTTAATCTCGTCGATTACACTGACCACCAGATGGCCCTGTGTTTGGCCTGGTTCACATGGGTCATCATGACAGGACGGGAAGGTTCAAGGTTACTATGTCGTTGTTAAGGTCAGCTGACCAGTCACGTGCGGTGTGAATGTTGGAAGCAGTTGCTGATTGTGATGTGGTGTGACGTGGTGTGGTGTAGTGTGATGTGATGTGATGTGATGTGATGTGGTGTGGTGTGGTGTGGTGTGGTGTGGAGTGATGTGGTGTGGTGTGGTGTGGTGTGGTGGGATGTGAGTGTGGTGTGGTGTGGTGTGATGTGATGTGATGTGATGTGGTGTGGAGTGGTGTGGTGTGGTGTGATGTGGTGTGGTGTGGAGTGATGTGGTGTGGTGTGGTGTGATGTGGTGTCGTGTGGTGTAGTGTGGTGTCGTGTGGTGTGGTGTGGAGTGATGTGGTGTGATGTGGTGTGATGTGGTGTGGTGTCGTGTGATGTGGTGTGGTGTGGTGTGGTGTGATGTGGTGTGGTGTGGAGTGATGTGGTGTGGTGTGGTGTCGTGTGGTGTGATGTGGTGTGGTGTGGAGTGATGTGGTGTGGTGTGATGTCGTGTGGTGTGGTGTGGTGTAGTGTGGTGTGATGTGGTGTGGTGTCGTGTCGTGTCGTGTGATGTGGTGTCGTGTGGTGTGATGTGGTGTGGAGTGATGTGGTGTGGTGTGATGTGGTGTGGTGTGGTGTCGTGTGGTGTGGAGTGATGTGGTGTGGTGTGGTGTGGTGTGATGTGGTGTGGTGTCGTGTCGTGTCGTGTGATGTGGTATGGTGTGGTGTCGTGTGGTGTGGAGTGATGTGGTGTGATGTGGTGTGGTGTGGTGTGGTGTCGTGTCGTGTCGTGTGATGTGGTGTGGAGTGATGTGGTGTGGTGTGGTGTCGTGTGATGTGGTGTGGTGTGGAGTGATGTGGTGTGGTGTGGTGTCGTGTGATGTGGTGTGGTGTGGTGTGGTGTGGAGTGGTGTGGTGTGATGTGGTGTGGTCTGGTGTGGTGTGATGTGGTGTGGTCTGGTTTGGTGTGATGTGGTGTGGTCTGGTGTGGTGTGTTGTGTTTGTGGTGTGGTGTGGTGTGATGTGGTGTGGTGTGGTGTGATATGTTGTGTGATGTGATGTGGAGTGCTTTGGTGTGGTGTGGAGTGGTTTGATGTCGTGTGGTGTTGTTGGATGTGGTATGGTGTATTACTATCAGTGTACAGTTTGTATTTCATTATTTCACCGACATGGCAATGTCCGGAGTCTGACCTTGAACTTGACCAATTGAAGACCAATCATAAGGAGTAATCACGTGACGTCAGCCACTGGCCAAAACGGCTCATCTGTGTTAGACAGTTGTCATGTCAAAGGTCAGGATAAGCGGTGATTGTCTTCAGCTCCAAGTATCAATCAAATGATATCAGAGCGACTCCCCCTCCCCTCACCCTGCCCCTCCCCTACCCGAGCGACAACTCCCGTGGGAGACTTGATGAATGGGAGGCTTTGACCTGGGCTGATAGAGGTCTCATTCTGGACATGGCCCATCTCAACTTCTGGACTTCTCCTGGCCCAGGCCATCTCATCGGGCCATCTAACTTCATAGGGGAGTCCATTTAGACATCACCATTCCCAGAAACCGGGGGGGGGGGGGCTATGCAAACGGCGCCCAGTGTTATGGAGTTTGTGATAGAGATAGGACTTCAAAACGCCATTAGACGCTTGATTGGCAAAAAAAAGAAAATCACCGGATTCCCGGAGACAATCGCGCTGGGGACAGGGCGAGCAGTCCCGGGGGACACGGGACTGTGATAGCGCCATGTGTCGGTCAGCGATCCAGGGGCTGCTCGTGGATTCCGTGGGGTCGGGTCCCCGAACAACTTGAGTATGACGTCAGCCGGAAAATGAGGGTGAACTCACGGCTTGTGGTCGTTCAGGCGGAGGTGGAGGGGGGGGGGGATCAGAGACGTTTGAATTGTTGGGTGGTGGGGGGGGGGGGGGTGGGGGGCAGAGACGTTCGAATTAAGTTGGGTGGTGGGGGGGGGGGGGGGGTTCAGGGACGTTTGAATTAAGTTGGGTGAAGGTGTGTGTGTGTGTGTGTGTGTTGGGGGAGGGGTGTTGTCATACGACGCTTGTATTGTTGGGTAAAAGTGTGCTACTGTGCTGTGTGTGGGTTACTGTGCTGTTTGTGTGGGGGTTGTGTGCTATGTGTGACGTAAGTTGAGCAGTATTAAATTTGGAATGACTACGAAAGAAAAGTAGACGCAAACTACGTCCCGGTGTCTGTCTGAAAAATCCTCAAGTACATGTTTTTTAAGATATTCCCAAACTATTCCCAAACTATTCCCAAAATATTCCCAAAATATTGCCAAACTATTCCCAAACTATTCCCAAACTATTCCCAAACTATTCCCAAACTATTGCCAAAATATTGCCAAAATATTCCCAAAATATTCCCAAACTATTCCCAAAATATTCCCAAACTATTCCCAAACTATTCCCAAAATATTCCCAAAATATTCCCAAAATATTGCCAAAATATTGCCAAAATATTCCCAAAATATTCCCAAACTATTCCCAAAATATTCCCAAAATATTCCCAAAATATTCCCAAAATATTCCCAAAATAGTCCCAAAATAGTCCCAAAATAGTCCCAAAATATTCCTTTAGACAAAAGCAGCACAGAATACTGTTGCTCAGGTGCATGAAGTGTCGGCACCTACAAATAAAATTTTTTCTCAGTATCTCTGATGCATCCCGTTAAAGCCCCCCTATCCGCCCCCCCCCCCACACACTACAGTTTTCTGTCCCATCTAGTCTGTTTTTAATCTTGTACACACCGCTATCTCTCCTATCGACCCCCTCCATTTCATGTCGCCCTGGGACACTTAGATGTACCCACCGTTTTGTGGTTTATAAAAAATCTATCCCATTTCTGTTTCAAACTTTGTCGCCCCTGTAATTAGTGTCTGATTTAAAACTTATTTGAAGTTCTAGAAAGTTCCAGACAGTTCGATAACTTTGAACTTAAACTGAACAGAATGCACTGCATGCCTTGATCGAGATTTTGTTGAAGTTGTGCCAGATTTTGAACAGGTTTTACGATCTAGCAGTTGTTGCTGTGTTAACTTTAGCCTGTCTTAATTAGATGACAACATAGCCGAGATCGGACTAAGAAATAACAATCAATGATACTCTTACAGGTTGGGAGGGGAGCGAGGGGGGGCTGGGAGAGTTAAACAATATAGACACAAATCTTTAGCATTACGATTGGTTATCTTCCATTGATTGGTCGAGTATCTTTCATTGATTGGTCGAGTATCTTCTATTGATTGTTGGGGTATCTCCAAAATCTGAAATCCTCTATTACGAAGTACATCCACCACTCAGCTCTGATAAAAATGTGAGTCCACCTCACACCTTACTGGTGTACTGTTGCTCACTGCCCCATGTTTTCTAGACGATTCTGGTTGGTCACAAGTGTGTCGGGTGTGTTTCCATGTGGGACTGTTCAGTCTGTTAGAGTCACCACTAACTCTCTATGTTAGAGTCGCCACTAACTCTGTAGAGTCGCCACTAACTCTGTAGAGTCGCCACTATCTCTATATGTTAGAGTCGCCACTAACTCTTTCTGTTAGAGTTGCAACTAACTCTGTCTGTTAGAGTCGCCACTAACTCTGTAAAGTCACCATTAACTCTCTATGTTAGAGTCGCCACTAACTCGGTCTGCTAGAGTCGCCACTACTTCTGTATGCTAAGAGTCAGGAGACGCGAGATTTAAGTGTTGTGATAGTACATTTGTGCCGCTAGATGGCGCTTCACCGCAAAGAATTCCCTCACGACAGATAACTCTGCTGTTTTATTGAGTTAGCTGGAGTTGTCCCCCACGTTTGTCCGCTTGATGAACGCCAAACGCCAAAAACAAACATCAGTGGAGTGACCACAAGTACCGTACGGCTGGTAGTTTGGCGTGTGGTAGTGTTGGGTTTTGTCTGTCCAATGTAAATCCGTGCGTTTCGCTACCTCACTTTTATTGAAACAATATAAACATAGGGTTGATAGGATTAGCGAGTGCAGTTTGCCTATGAAAGCACTCAGTTTAAATAAGTTTCTGGCAACAGTTGGAGGATGGTAGGATGGAAATGATGGGCATCCAGCCACCCAGCTGGCTCTGTCTTGCCTACCCTGTATCCAGTTAAAGATGTGCCAACCATACCTTAGCAGGACGAGGTAGGTACCAGCTCGCAACCAGCTCCTGACTTGCTCAACACTTGCATAAGACCTGCCCAAGACCTGCTCCTAACCTGCCCAAGACCTGCTCCTAACCTGCTCCCAATCTGCCCAAGACCTCCTCCCAACCAGCTCACAACCTGCCCAAGACCTGCCCAAGACCTGCTCCCAACCAGCTCACAACCTGCCCAAGACCTGCTCCCAACCTGCCCAAGACCTGCCCAAGACCTGCTCCTAACCTGCCCAAGACCTGCTCCTAACCTGCTCCCAATCTGCCCAAGACCTCCTCCCAACCAGCTCACAACCTGCCCAAGACCTGCCCAAGACCTGCTCCCAACCAGCTCACAACCTGCCCAAGACCTGCTCCCAACCTGCCCAAGACCTGCCCAAGACCTGCTCCCAACCTGCCCAAGACCTGCTCCCAACCTGCCCAAGACATGCCCAAGACCTGCCCAAGACCTGCTCCCAACCAGCTCACAACCTGCCCAAGACCTGCTCCCAACCTGCCCAAGACCTGCCCAAGACCTGCCCAAGACCTGCTCCCAACCTGCCCAAGACCTGCTCCCAACCTGCCAAAGACCTCCCCAAGACCTGCCCAAGACCTGCTCCCAACCTGCCCAAGACATGCTCCCAATCTGCCCAAGACCTGCCCAAGACCTGCTCCCAACCTGCCCAAGACCTGCTCCCAACCTGCCCAAGACCTGCCCAAGACCTGCTCCCAACCTGCCCAAGACCTGTCCAAGACCTGCTCCCAACCTGCCCAAGACCTGCCCAAGACCTGCCCAAGACCTGCTCCCAACCAGCTCCCAACCTGCCCAAGACCTGCTCCCAACCTGCCCAAGACCTGCTCCCAACCTGCCCAAGACCTGTCCAAGACCTGCTCCCAACCTGCCCAAGACCTGCCCAAGACCTGCTCCCAACCAGCTCACAACCTGCCCAAGACCTGCTCCCAACCTGCCCAAGACCTGCCCAAGACCTGCTCCCAACCTGTCCAAGACCTGCTCCCAACCTGTCCAAGACCTGCTCCCAACCTGTCCAAGACCTGCTCCCAACCTGTCCAAGACCTGCTCCCAACCTGCCCAAGACCTGCTCCCAACCTGCCCAAGACCTGCCCAAGACCTGCTTCCAACCAGCTCACAACCTGCCCAAGACCTGCTCCCAACCTGCCCAAGACCTGCCCAAGACCTGCTCCCAACCTGCCCAAGACCTGCCCCCAACCTGCTCCCAATCTGCCCAAGACCTGCCCCCAATCTGCTCCCAATCTGCCCAAGACCTGCCCCCAACCTGCTCCCAATCTGCCCAAGACCTGCCCCCAACCTGCCCCCAACCTGCTCCCAACCTGCCCAAGACCTGCTCCCAACCTGCCCAAGACCTGCCCAAGACCTGCTCCCAACCTGCCCAAGACCTGCCCAAGACCTGCTCCCAACCTGCCCAAGACCTGCCCAAGACCTGCTCCCAACCTGCCCAAGACCTGCCCAAGACCTGCCCCCAACCTGCTCCCAATCTGCCCAAGACCTGCCCCCAACCTGCTCCCAATCTGCCCAAGACCTGCCCCCAACCTGCCCCCAACCTGCTCCCAACCTGTCCAAGACCTCCTCCCAACCTGTCCAAGACCTGCTCCCAATCTGCCCAAGACCTGCCCCCAACCTGCTCCCAATCTGCCCAAGACCTGCTCCCAACCTGCCCAAGACCTGCCAAAGACCTGCTCCCAACCTGCCCAAGACCTGCCCAAGACCTGCCCCCAACCTGCCCCCAACACTTGCCCAAGACCTGCCCCCAACCTGCCCCCAACACTTGCCCAAGACCTGCCCAAGACCTGCCCCCAACACTTGCCCAAGACCTGCCCAAGACCTGCCCCCAACCTGCCCCCAACACTTGCCCAAGACCTGCCCCCAACACTTGCCCAAGACCTGCCCCCAACCTGCTCCCAACCTGTTCCAACCTGCCCAAGACCTGCCCCTAACCTGTTCCCCAACCTGCCCCCAACCTACCCAAGACCTGCTCCCAACCTGCCCAAGACCTGCCCCCAACACTTGCCCAAGACCTGCCCAAGACCTGCCCCCAACCTGCCCCCAACACTTGCCCAAGACCTGCCCAAGACCTGCCCAAGACCTGCCCAAGACCTGCCCCCAACACTTGCCCAAGACCTGCCCAAGACCTGCCCCCAACCTGCCCCCAACACTTGCCCAAGACCTGCCCCCAACCTGCCCAAGACCTGCAGAAGACCTGCCCCCAACCTGCCCAAGACCTGCAGAAGATCTGCCCCCAATCTGCCCAAGACCTGCCGAAGACCTGCTATCTCCCCGTGAGTTGACAAGACCCGACTCACCCCCAGGCCTCCCTGTTTACCCCCACACGACACGCGCTAACTTATCGTCTGCAGGTTTGATACAAACAGGCCGCACGTGTGTCCCTCGTGTGCTGGCATTTTAACTCACGCCAATGTGTTTTCCCAAGTGTGATGCAAGCACGGTATAAATCAACAGCACGCGCCACATCAAAGCTGCTCACCAGCATCACGTGATCGACACTTTGGGAAATTTTAAAACCGAGTTTTGTTTGCAGACAGGTAAAATTGGCTGGTCGCAGTTCATCAAGGCACGGTGTTATTGAGGACATTTGATAACTGGGGGAGGGGGGGGGGGGGGGGGGAGAGGTGTGTGTGTGTGTGGGGGGGGGGGGGGTCCCATGGGCTGCTGGTTAATCTTTGACGTGGTGGTGGAGGCACCCTGTGGTGTTGTGGGTACCCTGGGGTGGTGGGGGCACCCTGGGGTGGTGTGGGCACGTCGGGGTGCGAGGACACCCCGGGGTGGCGGGGTATCCCGTGGGGCAGTGGTTAAACTGAAACGTCTGCAGTCGCTGGGTCGAGGCGGCCGGAAGTTGTGGAGCAGCAGACGTCAGCTGCACCTGGTGCTGCCACTTCCGCCAGGTAGGTGACGTCATCGGCCTGCCTTAGGGGAAACGGTAAAATAAAACGCGCAAACCTTTTTCGTGGACAAATGGTTGGTGTTTGATCTATGGTTCAATATCGACCAACATGCACCAGACTTAGTGGATACTGTATTCTGACATGGTCAATTAGTCATGTGACTGTATCCATCAGTCATGTGACTATCAGTCATGGTCCATCAGTCATGTGACTGTATCCAGACGAGGTCCATACAAGACTACCTGACGCTACACCTGTAAAAAAAAGTTTCATAAAGCAAACACTTCACGCCATCCCCTTAATCCGTTACCCGACACACATAATCCGTAATCCGGTCAACATAATCCGACTAGGCGATAAATGATGACAGTGCCCTCTAGCAGACGTGATGACGTGTGTCAACACCGTCACACAAAAACTCTGCTCGCTTTGATGTTCGCACGTGAGCGATGTGTACTCACCAGCGTGGAACCAGAGCGGGCATCAGACATCGATGGGTGGGTGGGGCGAGGTGGGTGGGGCGAGGTGGGTGGGGCGAGGTGGGTTAGATGTGGTGAGGTGTGGATCAGTGCGGTTTGGTGTGGGTGGGTGGATGTTGCTGTGCGAGAGTGAGGATAGGTGTGGGTGTGTGGGATTAGTTGTGGATGGATGGGGTAATGTGATTGAGGCACGGTTGTAGTGTAGTGGTCAGTTAGTGACCAGCTTACAGCAGCGTGTGGCGCATCTTCCCCCCCCCCCCCCCCCACCCGCTTACCTACGCCAATAGAACATTTCCTGTCGAGAAAGCCGACAGATTTAAACAGCCGTCTGTTTGCTGTTGTCAAGTACAAAAATATTTAAACAATAGTTTTCTGGTGAGTGCTTCCACCAGCCTCACGCTAGCTCTTGTACCAGTCACGTGATACCCTACTTACAGTCGTGCGCGCGCACCAATTGACGTCAGATGTGATATAATCTTGAATCAGTTTTCCCGCAACCTTGTCTTCATTCATTGGCCAGCCCAGGTCACGTGCCAAATGTTGACATTTTCCCACAGAAAGCAATAAACAGTCTAGTCTGCTGAAGACAATTTGTCGCTACAATATTGCCAGCAGTATTTGATAAGGACAATTTGTCGCTACAATATTGCCAGCAGTATTTGATAAGGACAATTTGTCGCTACAATATTGCCAGCAGTATTTGATAAGGACAATTTGTCGCTACAATATTGCCAGCAGTATTTGATAAGGACAATTTGTCGCTACAATATTGCCAGCAGTATTTGATAAGGACAATTTGTCGCTACAATATTGCAAGCAGTATTTGATAATGAACTGGTTATCTGATGTTAGACAGGCCAAGACAACGTTACTATCGGTTGGTGTGTGTGCGTGTGTGTGTGTGTGGGGAGGGGGGGTCTGCGAGTGTGGACGTGGGTTTTCTAGAGATGTGGGGGAGAATTAGAAATAGCTGGACAATATGGACATCGGAGAAAGTTGACAGAGCGGCCATAAGAGAAACTTGACAAGGTATTAGACAAGACACGATACTTGAAAAGCACGATATTTGACAAGATAGGATACTAGACAAGGTACGATACTTGATAAGATGCGACACTTGACACGAAAAAATACTTTACAAGAGACGATACTTGACACGACAAGATACTTGACATGACAAGATAAGACACCAATATTAACACCACTCACTCCCCCAACACCCGAGTCAGACTCACAGACCCTATCTCTAGAACTTATTAAACCAATTACGTCTCCACCAAAGGTCTTGATCTATAGACAGCAGCGTGCATCTAAAACTGTGCTACCAACCTGTCTATAGACAGGAGCGTGCATCTAAAACTGTGCTACCAACCTTCTGTCTATAGACAGGAGCGTGCATCTAAAACTGTGCTACCAACCTGTCTATAGACAGCAGCGTGCATCTAAAACTGTGCTACCAACCATCATGTCAGAAGACAAGAAAGGGACAGCGATGAATAACGTCAACCATTTTATCGACCGTTCAGAAGTTCGACCTCTTACATCATCGACATTCTCTGCTGTTGTAGCAGTCACGTGGTACTTACTTCTTGGCCACATGTCAGCTAAAACAGCCCCCCCCCCTCAGATGTAATAAAAAAAACAACTGAATCAGCATGAGACTTGACCTCCCGCGCTAGATGACCACTTGGACGATATTCTCGCTCCACAGCTCTCGTGAGGTACTCAGCCTAAAAACCAGGACGGACATTCATCATACGCATTCAGTGCGGGCTACACGGAAGTGGATTCACGCATTCAGTGCGGGCTAAACGGAAGTGGATTCCATCATACTCATGTCTAGCTTCTTCTGTAATGGCAAGTCTGTACGACTGTGTATAAATATGTAACGGGGAAAAGAGGCGGAAGACAGGACAAGAAAGTAAAGGTGGGGGGGGGGGGAAAGAAGCACCCCCCTCCACCCCTACCAGGGAGGTGGCGATAATGAGGTGGGTGTGATGGATGGTGTAGATGGTGGAGGGTGGCTGACATAACTCGTAAATCCTAGGAACATCAACAGCACACGTTTCTTTTGGTTTGGTAGTGGTAGCAGTGCACAAATAGAAGTACACAAATAGGAGCAGTACATTATAGGAGAACTACACAAATAGGAGCAGTACATAACTAGGAGCAGTACATAACTAGGAGCAGTACATTATTGGAGCAGTACACAAATAGGAGCAGGGCGTGGTGGGAGCAATACATTAGTAGAAGCAGTGCAATAGTAGGAGCAGTATATTAACGAGAGCAGCGTATTAGTAAGAGCAGTAGATGGTCGAGACGTACACAAATAGGAACAGAGCTGAAATGGGAACAGTAAGCCGTACAAAAATGAGAGCAGTATATAAAGAGGAGCATTGCACTAAAGAGGCGGGTGGTAGAGAGCTCGACTGCTGACCCGTAAGTCTCGGTTCGAGTTCGTAGAACGTCACTGAGTCCACTCAGCTTTTATAGGTACCTGACCTACGTTAGGGTAAGTAAATGCGGCTTTACATTGGTGGCAGCGCGATAATTTATCTTTAAACTCCGAATAATTTATCTTTAAGCTCCGAATAATTTTTTTTAAGCTCCGCTGCTTAAATACAATTGCACGGCATGACGTCCACCTCGACCTTGACCCACAGAGGTCATTACAGACACGCCCACATGGTAACATGGCGCTCATTCAAACTTTGACACAGAGCTGCTGTCGTGCTGTGATAAACCCGGGCTTAGTGGGGTGGGGGGAGGGGGTGGCTGGGGGTCAGGGACCCCGGCCCGTCTTATTGACCCCTATTGCATTGTCCTTGCACGTGTGGACAGCTGACGTGTGCATGCACGTGCTTATCACATGACAAACTTGACAGGACTCATCCAGTGACCCGACTTGATGCCCGCATGGTGACCCGATGTTATGCCCACATGGTGCCCGATGTTATGCCCTGGTGACCCGACTTTATGCCCACATGGTGACCCGATGTTATGCCCTGGTGACCCGATGTTATGCCCTAATGACACGATGTTATGCCCTAATGACACGATGTTATGCCCACATGGTGACCCGATGTTATGCCCTGGTGACCCGACTTTATGCCCTAATGACACGATGTTATGCCCTAATGACACGATGTTATGCCCACATGGTGACCCGATGTTATGCCCTGGTGAGACGACGTTATGCCCACATGGTGACACGATGTTATGCCCACATGGTGCCCGATGTTATGCCCTGGTGACCCGACTTTATGCCCACATGGTGACCCGATGTTATGCCCTGGTGACCCGATGTTATGCCCTAATGACACGATGTTATGCCCTAATGACACGATGTTATGCCCACATGGTGACCCGATGTTATGCCCTGGTGACCCGACTTTATGCCCTAATGACACGATGTTATGCCCTAATGACACGATGTTATGCCCACATGGTGACCCGATGTTATGCCCTGGTGAGACGACGTTATGCCCACATGGTGACACGATGTTATGCCCTGGTGACCCGACGTTATGCCCTGTTGTGGTTAGACGATTTTATGCCCACATGGTGATCCGATGTTATGCCCACATGGTGACCCGATGTTATGCCCACATGGTGCCCGATATTATGCCCATACGGTGACTCGTCTTTATGACCAAGACTTCTTTAACTGTTAAACAATGGTAGCGCCATACAAACCCACGTCTTACACCAACAACTGCCCATGTGAAGCTGGTACCAATAGTGACGCTAGGACTGGTACGTCCCCACGTTTTATCCTGCTATGGACCAACTATCTTCTGATTATAACAACTTTTCAAGTCTGCCGATTTAAAAGTCTTTTGTCAAGGTCGCAGGAACAATTATTAAGGTCACGGACGCTCATGAAGGTCAAATGCGACAT